TCCTTGGTTCAAACCCCGGTCCAGGGGCCTTTCTGGGTGGAGTTTGCATGTTCTCTCCGTGCATGCGTGGGTTTTCTCCGGGTACTCCGGTTTCCTCCCACAGTCCAAAAACATGCATGTTAGGCTGATTGGTAACTCTAAATTGTCCCTAGGTGTGAGTGAGAGAGTGAATGGTTGTTTGTCTCGTTTGTCTCTATGTGGCCCTGTGATGGACTTGCGACCCGTCCAGGGTGTACCCCGCCCCTCGCACAGTGATTGCTGGACATGGGCACCGGCGACCCCCGTGACCCAAAATGGAATAAACGGGAAAAGAAAATGGATGGATGGATGGATGGATGGGTCCCAGTTACATCCAACAATAAAATGTAAAAGAAAACAATGATAACATCTAAGATATGAACTAAGAAAAACTTCATCTAAAAATGCACTAATAGCATAAAAACATTGTGTCGAACAGCAGCACGAACAAATGTAACAAAGAACTAGAGTAAGAATGCTGAAGATTTTCATGAGAATGTTTTTGAACGATTTAAAGAAATCCCAAGGTTTTTCTATGAGCGACACATTTTTAAATAAAGTGTAAACCAAGAGTCATAGCAGGAAGCAGAAGTAGTTGAATTACAAGAAAGTCGCTCATTGGCTCCAGAGCTCGGTACTTCCTCCTCACAGAAATCTAAATGCACCCCACCTATCTCTTGAACCAGAAGCTGTTTGAAAGGCACAATATGAACAGTTCTCCTTGTCTGTTTTTATTAATGGATTGTTAAAAGCTGATGCCTGTCAGGTAAATATAATTTGTTTCAAACAGTGACATGGGATAACATTTTGTAATAGTGGTTTGAATTTGCCTGGATTGTTGAGAAGTTTGTTAAATACTTAATATTTTATTTAATTCACCAGTAGCTGTCTTTGTATATCAGGAAATAATTATTACAGGAATTCACTTATTATGTTGTTCAAGGCGTAAAGTGATTTGCTCGTTCTGAGACAGTGTCAGAGTTAAACTAATCTTAAAAAGTTTAAAATTGACTTAAACAACAGCTGGCAAAACGTTACTGATTCAAATAAAACAACAATTTTTTATACATTCTTTTGTAAATTACCAAAATTTCCTTGAGGTTTTCGTTATTTTCACTTCTTTTAACGTTTCTCTGCTGCCATCTAGTGGCCACGTGCTCCAAAGGCAAGTAACCGATCACGTGACCTGGTGCTCCTGTCAAATACGTCCCCTTCAGTGGACTTTTATAAAAAATAAAATAAATAAACATTATGCCCCTCGATCAGGGATCTGCAACATTTATAATCAAAAGAGGCATTTCTGCTCCAAACGTACAACACTATTACAAAACTATTTATTTTATATAAATAAACAAAACAAAAAAAAACTGTAGTTGGTTAAATTTTGACATTAAAGAACTATAAAAAAACTATTGTTATTGATACCTTTATGTGTTAAAATCAAAGAAAAAACTAACATATGGAGAATGAAAAATAAAATACAAGTTTATTCTATACTGTATTTGTGGAAAACGAATTGTTTTAAGTAACAAAATAACGAAACATATTTAAAGTGAACAAAAATAGGTCACTATTGGATATTTATGTGTGATTTAATGAACTTTCTCAAAGGCAAAAAAAAAACTGCATTTACTTGTAACCTCTTTGTGTGTGTGTGTTATTTTCTTAATCAAAGACCGATCTTGATTTTTACTCATGGTTATCAGAATGACTTAACATTATTTAACAGAAGACTGTTTTTATTGCTTCATGGTGGATAAATCAGTGATCTCTGTACAAAGCTGCTCTGTTTAGGCTTGTTTGTTTTTGCTCAGCGACTTGCATCCAATGTTCAGTTTTCAGGATTTCAGAGGACGTTAACAGGTTAATTAACTACCAGAGCAAAGACCAGTCCGTTCATCACTTTTATCTGACACTGAAGGCAAAGCAGCAACAATGGTTGTGCCCATGTTTGTCTGTAGCGTTAGTAAAATGTCTCATGAAGTGAATTAATTTTACAGAATCTCTCAGAAAGTTATGAACGGATGTGCAGGGTGAATATGCGTTGAATACCTCCAGCAGAACCAGGCTCAGGACGAGCAGCCTTCTGCTTCGACAGGCTGGGGTGTGAGAGGAACAGGAAGGAGAAACGGACACAGAATGGCAGGTCCAGGTGAACTTTCTATAGGAGGAAATACAAAAAATATGTTAAGATAAAAATAATTACAAATACAGAGTAGAGTAAGTAAAGACAGCAGCAGAGTGAGGAAATGTGGTCAGTTTGTCCTTCAGCAGTCTAAGCCTATAGCGACATAACTAAGGGATAGCTCAGGAAACCCAAGAAGGCCCTAACTATAGGATTTATCAAAAAGGAAAGACTTAAGCTTAATCTTAAAACTGGACAATGTGTCAGCCTCACGGACAGAAACTGGAAGTTGGTTCCACCAGAGAGGAGCCGATCTTCCTCCCATTCTGCTTTTGGAAACTCTAGGAACCACAAGTAAACCTGCAGTCTGAGTGCAAAGTACTCTGTTAGGAAAATATGGAACAATAAGATCTATAATATAAAATGCAGCTAGGTTGTTGAGAGCTTTGTAAGTTAGAAGTAAGATTTTGAATTCAATTCTGAATTTGACAGGGAGCCAAAGGAGAGAAGCTTAAACTGGAGAGATATGATCTCTCCCACTAACTCCAGTTAAGACTCTGGCAGCAGCATTTTGGATCAACTATCCTTCCATTATCTCTATCCATCCATCCATCCATCCATTATCTTTACCCGCTTATTCCATTTTGGGTCACGGGGGTCGCCGGTGCCCATGTCCAGCAATCACTGTGCGAGGGGCGGGGGACACCTTGGACGGGTCTCCAGTCCATCACAGGGTCACATAGAGACAAACGAGACAGACAACCATTCACTCTCTCACTCACACCTAGGGACAATTTAGAGTTACCAATCAGCCTAACATGCATGTTTTTGGTCTGTGGGAGGAAACCGGAGTACCCGCAGAAAACCCACGCATGCACGGAGAGAACATGCAAACTCCACCCAGAAAGGCCCCTGGACCGGGGTTTGAACCAAGGACCTGCTCGCTGAGAGGCAGCAGCTCTACCAGTTGCGCCACCATCCTGCCCTTTGGATCAGCTAAAGACTTTTTAAAGAAGTATTTGGACACCCAGATAATAAACCATTGCAATAGTCCAGTCTAGACGTGATAAATGCATGGACCAGTTTTTCTGTAGCATTTATGGACTAGATGTTTCTCATTTTAGTGATGTTACGCAGGTGGAAGAAGGCAGTTCTGGTAACTTTTTTAAATGTGGAGGATAAAAGACATGTCCTGATCAAAAATAACACCTAGATTTTTAACATTAGAACTGGAGGCCAGTTTAATAATAATATTAATAATATAAATAAAGGGTGAATGAATGAATGTGTTATGTGTTGCCATCATTGTATGTTCAGTCAGAGATTCTTTATTGTCATTCGCACCTCATGTGGTACATGTGGTGGAGCGAATTATGTACACAGGGTCCCAGTTACATCCAACAATAAAATGCAAAAGAAAAACAGAAGGTGAAATTGGATCTCTGCATTTAACCCATCCGCCAGTGGACAGCTGTGGAAAGCACCCGGGGAGCAACTAGGGATAATGTGTCCTGCTCAGAGACACCATGAGATGTGCAATGATCGGGGATCGAACCCGGGTCGGCTGCTCTGCCCCTACACCATGCCATTCAAGGAGGGCGAAAGACTGAAAAATTCATTCCTAAGATGCTCAGGTCCAAAAACTAAAACCTCAGTCTTGTCTGTGTTCAAAAGCAGAAAATTAAGGGTCATCAAGGATTTTGTATCTTTACTTTTAAGACATGCTTGTAGTCTGGGTAACTGATTGGATTCATTGGGTTTCATGGACAAATATAATTGTGTATCATCAGTATAACAATGAACATTTATCCCATGTTGTTTAATAACATTACCTAATAGAAGCAAGTAAAGCGTATTGGTTTAAGCATTGAGCCCTGAGGAACTCCATGACTAACTTTGGTGTATGAAGAAGATTCATTATTTACATTTACAAACTGGAATCTTTCGGCTAAATATGATTTTAACCATTTTAGAGCTGCTCCTGTAATTCCAATATCACATTCAAGATGTAGTAGAATTATTATGATCAACATGCAGCACTGGGGTCTAACAGGACCATGAGACACAAGTCCATTGTCAGAGGCCATGAGAATATCATTAGTGACTTTCACCAGTGCTGTTTCTGTGCTATGATGAGCTCTAAACCCTGACTGAAACTCTTCAAACAGATAGCTGTAATGTTTATCCATATATTGCTTGTGAAGGAATTGTTACACTACAAAGTTTTCTGAGATACGTTTCCCTTTATTTTTGATTAATTTATGCAAAGTTAAGTCAACAGAATGGTTAATAAATAACCAGTGAGAAATAACTGTTGGATTTAGGTTTATTTCATGCAATCCTGCATAGTGAGTTCAGGACCCCTTAGCTGCCTAACAAGGTGCCGAATATAAAAAAACCCACTGACTTCAGCACTAAACAGATCCTGCTCAGAACATGCAGTTAAACTAGGGAATTTATAACGGTAACAAAATATGCTGTAAGCTCATTCATTCATCAACTTTAATCTAAAACTTTTTTATTTTTTATTTTAACCTTAATCTTGGAGGTCATAAAGGAGGTCCTGCTCGAGGATTTGGGTCAGACGAGGGACTTTGGCCTTTACTTTACAGTCACTAAACAAACTAAAAGTTCCAAAAAGGCAAATTCTTTAAAAAAAAAAACACAAAAAAAAACCTTTTGAGACCACGCTGAAGTGATTTATTGGCTCACTCTAAGTGTAGCTGTTAGGTGAGGTGTTCTGTTTGTCTCCTGATAAAATGAACAAACATCCCCCACCACCCATAAAGTGCATGTTTGAACCTGTAGATTGTTGTGGGCGGTCATGGGTGTTGGGCGGTGAGACATTAAAAGCCCAGCTTCTCTGCAGTCAGCAGCCGCAGACCTCTGAGTGTTTGTTCTGTTCTCAGCTGAAATGGCTCTGGAGGGTAAAACTGCGGTGGTGAGCGGAGCGGCCATGGGCATTGGGAAAGCCGTGAGCGAGATCCTCTTGGAGAATGGGGCGAAGGTAGAGTTTCCACTCGTCTTGATCTGGTTGTTCAAGTGTCAACGTGGGCTCCTGTTACAACGGGGGGGGGGCCCCACGCAAGAAGCAAAACAAAAATCTCATTCTGCCAGAGCAGATTATCAGCTGAAACTCTTATTTTTTATGATATGTGTCAGAACTTGTTTAAACTCTTGGAATAGTTTGGTTAAAAGCTTCTATTGGCTTAATTTGACATGTCAGTGAGCCTCGCCCTGCTCTAAAACAGCTAAAATTACAGGAAAACTCAGTTTAGCTCATATCACCGAGTCATATTTAATTATGTAGCTAAAATTAAGCTGAGTCAGAAATAAACAGAAGTGCAGAACTCTTCGTTTGGAAGAATCCAAACTGCGGTGAAGTTCTTTCTTGAAGACGAGTTCTCGTGACTCAATGAGACTACCTGTATAAATAAATAAATAAATAAATAAATAAATAAATAAGTTAGTTTCACGTTGGACATTCGAGCTCCGTGTCTTCAGCGGTGTGTTCCTCTCGTTCGATGCGATGCAGGCAGTCTGATTTCAGTCAGGCGCGCTCAGCCTGCCCCTAAGTTTAGGGACCGTCAACAAATTCCTGCACCCAAAATGTTGTTTTTTTCCTCCAATAACTTTCATGTCATCACACCCACTGAAGCGAAACTTTTGTTAAACTGCTCTACTACACCTGACAGTGGGTCTCATGATGTGAAAGTTATTGGAGAAATAAACATTTTGGGTTTGGTAATTTGCTGACGGTCCCTAAGCCTACCATTCCGTCTCGGAGGAGGGGCAGACTGAGCACGCCCGACTGAAATCAGACTGCCTGCATCGGATCGAACGAGAGGAACACACCGCTGAAGCCACGGAGCTCGACTGTCCAACTTGAATAACTTCACCTCAGTTTTCTACAAATTGTTTTGACGTTGTTTTAAGCTCTTCATCAACACCTCTTCGGTTTTTTCTTTTCTTTTTTCTTCACCAGATTGTTACTCGAGTTTTGACTTTTTAAAAACTATTTAACCTCAAAATCACTTAAACATAATCAATAACCTTAAATTTGATCAATTAAATGCCTAGAAGTCCTTGCAGGAATGCATGTCGGCCACATCCTTTCATTCTTTCAGCTAAAGATCATTTTATAATGACAAATGACCGTTTTGTGGCCGTTTTGGTCAAATCTTGAAAATAAAGTTTTGGCAACAACATTTTTCAAGAGCATGAGATGGTACACTCAGAGTATGTGTCGTGGATGACTCTCAGCTACCACTACCTTAAATTTCAACATAATAATCGACCAGCTGACTGAGTTATACTCATCTTTGTGTTGACTAATGTCAAATAGCTGTAGCAGCCATCTCAAATTGGATTGACTCCAAAAGTTCATCAGATGTAAATGTATATCCAGTGATTGCCTTCTGTAAATTTCATTGAAATTCGTCCAGTATTTATTGAGATATTTTGCTAACAGCCCCAACAGGGTTAACGCCAATAGTTGATGTAAAAGTTTTAGGCAAAGATCTTGTGCAGTGAGTAGCATTTAGAGTATGTGTTTTGATTGACTCTCAGCTACATCTACACAAAATGTTAGCGCAATATCTGTAAAATTACCTCAAGTATAACCATTTTTGTGTTTTTCAAGTTTCAGTAGCTTTGGCTGCTGTCTTCAATTGGCTTAACTCCAAAAGTTAATCAGCTGTAACTGTACATCCAGAGATTATTTTCTGAAATTGTCAGTAAAATCCATACAGTGACACTGAAGATATTTTGCTAACAGACGGACAAAGTTGACTTCAAATGGGTAATGGCAAGTTCAATTGGTTATTGTTCAGGTATGAGTTGGGGATTCATCTTGGCTACGGCCACACCAAACCTTCAGTCATCGTCTGTAAAATTGACAGCTATAGGGCTTTTTGTGTTTTTTAAACTATGACATAATAAACTAAAATAACACAAAACTTTCTGTGAGTTATCACTGGTTGTGCACCTACAGCTGATGAACTTTTAGAGTCAACCGAGTTCAAGATGGCCGCCACAGCCGACGTAAAATGATCTCAATCTAAAACTCTGGAGTGTTGGACCTTTAATCATTGATTCATTCGAATGGAAACAGAGGTCGTCGTGTGATGAGTGAACTCCAACACTGGGATTGGGTAATCCACAGTTGATTTAACAACATTAAAGAGTTTGTCGCTCAGAGATTATTGATCTGATTAGATACAGATCTGATCCATTTAACAGCCCGGTGTTTTAAATTAACTTAACAAGAATGTTATGAGCACCTTATGCTTTGTGTCTGTAATCGGACTATGCTCCTTTCAGCTTGTTTTTGCAAGTTTTAGCTTTTTCTGATATTTCAGCTACTATTTAAATGTTTTATGCAAATTTTAGCTTTTTCAGCTAATTCCACATTTTTTGCACTCATTTCAATATTTTTTCAGACAAATTCAGCGAAAATGTGCTCTCTCCACTCCCTTTGGGTGATTTAAGCTTCTTTTCTGCCTTTTTAGCTGCTTTTCAGCTGACTTTGTTGTTGTTGCTACTAATTTTAGCTTTTTTCAGATAATCAGAATCGGAATAAACTTTATTGGAATTGCACCGAGGTACAACGCGAATATGTACGTACAGTTGTCCGAAAGATGGGCGGCGTGCACGAAGCTGCAACTGTAGAAAGCGCGGCCGTTTTATCCTTATCAGATAATAATCTTAGATGGGAAAATGTGTAGAAACATGAGTGGTATTACAAAAAAAGATCTTTCACATCTTGTCTATCAGGACACGATTTGAGACATAAAAAAAAACTTACCAGCAAGCACAATTAAAACATGATTACATTTTCATTTGACATCGAGATGTGGAGATTTGTCCATGAGCGTTTTTTCAGATCAGCCACAGTTTCTGAAGAAGTTGTTCCAGCATCTATAATTTACATTATATTGTGCTCATCTCTGCTTCTTCCAGCCTAAGTAAGCAAACATGTTCTGTCTGCTTTCTTCTGCTAATTTAAGCTTGTTCTACCTTTTCTGACCCTTTTAGCTAATTTCAGCTGTTTTCAGATAAATTCTAGGCTTTCTTGGTAAATTTTTGCTACTTTCAGCCTAATTAACTTCTTACTGCTAATTTCGGCTTGTTATGCTCCTTTCAGGTTTGTTCTACTAGTTTCAGCTTTTTCTGCCTTTTATTGAGATGTTTTTATGCTAACTTTAGCCTTTTAAGCTAATTCCACTTTTTTCAGCTAATTTTAGCTCTTTCGCTGGTAGCTTAAACTTCTTTCTGCCTTTTCAGCTATTTTTTTTGTGCTAATTTCATCCTTTTTTTAAGCTAATGTCCTAATTTTTGTGCTAATTTCTGCTTATTTAAACCTAATTCAGAAAATATGTGTTCTTTCTGCTTTCTTCTGCTAATTTAGGCTTGTTCTTCATTTCAGCTTCAATTCAGCATGTTTTTAGCTAGTTTCTGCATGTTCTTCAGTAAAAAGCATTCACACTGACTGACAAGTTTTTTGTTGTTGTTTTTTTCTTTACACACATTCTGATTTACAAGCACAAATTATATATGACAGGACTTTGTGCCCAGAGAGTGTCTCATGTCTGTCTCGTCTCGTTTTTTTTCAGGTGGCCCTCTTGGACATAAATGAGGCCGCAGCTGAGAGTTTGCTGGAGACCCTGCGCAAAAAGCACGGAGCGGGAAAATCGTTGTTCGTGAAGTGTGATGTCGAATCAGAGGAGCAGATTAAAGGTCAAACACACAAAACAAGAGTGAGATACAGGAGTATAAAACTTTTATTTTCCTCCAGTAAACATAAAGCTGATGAAACTGCAGCCAAAGAAGTCCAGTTTGGTCTCAAAGGACGTTCCCTGAGAAACTTCAGGGGTTGTCGACGTGCATTTTGACGAGTTCTCGTCTGTTTTTTGTGACTTTTTCTGTCGGTAGTGGAGCGCTCCGAGGTTTTCTTCCATGGAGATCAGTACAATGTAAAACTAAACGGATGAAGCTGTCGAAGTGATACGTTGAGCTTGGAGTTCAGCTCTAATGGCTTTGGATGGTTTCCTTGGCTCTTTTTCTGCCATCTGCACTATCCATCTGATCAACCCGGGGTCGCATTGCTTTTTGCGTCCACATCCTAGGAGGTTGGCTACCGTCCCACGGACCTTATACTTTTAAATAATGTAGTCAGCTGTGGTCAGAGGAACATGAAGCTGCTTGGAGATAGTCTTGTAGCCTTTAGTTTTCACATGGATTTCACATGGATATTAGAAATCTTTCTTTCCACAGCTCTCTGAGCTCCTCAGCTTTGTGTTCTCTGCTTCCTGTTCAGTGAGGTGCTCATAACAAGACCAGCCTACTGAGTGAGTGGCACGTTAGTTCTTTTTAAAAGGCTGATAAAAGGCTTGAAGGTGCCTGTGATGCTAATTAGGGTCAAACACTTATTTTGAAACATGTAATACAAAGATTAAGACTCTTATTTTTAAAGGTACTAACAAATCTGGCCAAACTGTTTTAGCACGTTTTAGTAAAATAAACAAAAAGAGTTTTTGTTTATTAGGGATGCATGATATTGGATTTTTGGCTGATAACCGATACCAGTACCAATATTTTCCCCCTAGATCTACTTACAGAGACTACGTAGCTTTCTCGGCTGTGGAATTAAAATACCACATTATTCTGCACGGTCTTTGTCAGTTTGGCTGCTACTAAATGCAGATGTCAAAAAAGGGAGCTGAAAATGATGCAACACTTCAACTTGGATTATGTTTAATGTCAAATTTATTCGTGACATTTACTCTCTGTAACACAATGACAACACTCGAACAGTGCAAATTTGTACATTTTCACCAATTTAATCTCAACCTGTTCACCAGCAACAAGTGAAAAGTGCATAAGTAGTAGTGCATTAATAGACATACTTGACAGTTTTGTAAATGAAAAATTAACTTAAAACAGAAGCCTTTTATATCGGTGAGTTATTTTGATGGAATGGCCGACATCCGATATTTAACTTTATCGCTAATATCGGCCGATACGATACCATGCGATAATATCGTGCGTCCAGTTGTTTTTTTTTTTTTTTTTACATTTTTTGCATACTAAAGGATTCCACATACATATTAGATAATTGATTTGAGCTGAATCACCTTTATAGAGAAATGAAGAATTGCTTCAATGGACATTAAGGGTTCCAACACATTTGTGTGTGTCTAAATATGCAGGAACACAAAAACCCTCTTCAGAATCGGTTTACAGCGTTTCTGTTGAAGGAGGCAGGTGTTGGACAGAAACCAGAAACGCAGAATGAGTTAAGAGGAAAACGAGCTTATTAAGTTTCTTCTGTTCCCATGGGAAGAACTGCACCGAGATCATGACATTAAGCTGTTTGGAGCTTTATTTGGACTTCAGGTGGGAAGGTTCAGATAAGTTACTGAGGTGGTTTCAGCCTCTGGAGCAAACCGGTTTGTTTCTTTCTATTTGCCTATTCATGTTTTTCCACTTCTCGTGAAACGCTGATAAGAATTTAACTACGATTGTCACATGAAAACGGATCAATTTGTTTCAATTTACTTGTACATAAGAGGTCGGTTAAGAGAAGATCGAATGAAAGCAAAGAAGTACAACTTTTTTTAACAAAAAATAAACAGATAAAGGCAAGGACAGATGATTAATTTAATAAAAGCTTGAATGTTTGACATCTTTGATGGGTTTTATTTTATGATTTTGTTCGTTAGAGCCAAAGGTTTTTAGTGGATTTTCTGATTATTATTATATTTTTAAGGTGTTTTTAAAGCTGAGACTTAGAGAAAGTAAAAAAGAGCATCTGGTGGTAAAAAAAAAAATAAATGGAAACACTCACATAAGAACGTCCAGAATTAAATTAAAAGCTTATCATTGTTTGAATTCCAGGTTAGTCTCAAACTGAGATCTTATGTTGTCGTTTTGTTCAAACCTTGACAATAACATTGTTTTCAGATTTATCTGATATCTGTGTAGTGAACTAAGCCTCAGGTCAAATCTGGCCTAGAGGGCCTTCCTGGGACAAGAACTGTATTTCATTGATTTGAGTCCAGAAACACAAGATTAAGTTCATCCAGAGACTTTCTAAGTGTCCTGCACTGATCAATTGAAAGAACACTCTCTTTTTTATTATCATTACTATTTTACAAATGTCGTGATAATCAAAAGTGTGTTTAGTTCAAACCATTTTTAAATGTTGAAGTGAACTACTCATTTTAAATCAACTGTGAAACAGTTAATGATTTTTTAATCCTCATTCAAAGTAGAAATCAAGTTAACGTCTGTTACAGAGTAATTATTCATTTTTTCTTGATCTTCTGTCTAAGACACCAGTGTAAGTTGGTCAAAAGTCAAGTTTCGGTCAACTGCAAGTTTACTGGAAAAGAAATGTCATGTTTAACTTTTACAGAAAGATATTAGAGAATTGACTCCACTAAGTCTCGGTTCTTCATAACAATCTTCTGTCTGTTCTTAAACAATCTAATCTTTTTTCCTTGACTTTTAATAACCTCTTACATCACTAAAACACACCCCTGTTTGGTCGATCGACCAATCAGGAAGTTCTCAAATGAACCGGAAGTGACCTCTTTAAAAGGTGCAACACTTCCTAGTTCAGGAGAGAGAATGCCGTGAGTTAGTTCCGAGAGCAGCAGAGTTCAGAATGCTGGAATGCAGAATGCTGGAGAAAAAGCAACTAAGCTGAACGAGAGAAGTTCAGAGGAACTATGAAATGTCTGTTCTGGGATGATCTCACGACTCAGAACGGTTCCCTACTATCCTTACGGAGACGCTGAAAGCGTTTGAAGAGAACTCTACGCCGAGGCCGAACTATCGTCTGCAAAGGTAAACGAGTCGATCTTCAACCGCAAAGTGTACCGTTGGTTAAGCTGGTCCAAAGGAGCGTGTTGTTCTGGTTATAACAGACAAATTCCCTCACCCATCTCTCTCAACTTAAACTTCATTTCCATCTTTAAAACTCTTCTATATTGCTAGTAATTAATCCAGATATTTTCAGAAATGTCTGTTGTAATGCTGTGAAGCAATGGAAAATCATGGCCGTATGGTTTTCCTGACTGTAAAGCTAATTAATTAAGCTGTTGTTATTTTCAATTTTGCCAAATTAATGTAAATGTTTGATGTTAAACTTTGATTCTGTTAATAAATGACCGCATTCATTTGATGGGTCAAAGAAAATTAACGTCTCACGTTACATTTTAATTTCAATGCACGATATTATTCAGTCCAGAAAAATGAATCCGTTTAATTTATGGATAACATATCACAGATATATGTCCTATTACATCTGAGACGTCATGCTCAGAGTGTGTGTTGGGAATGACTCTCAGCTACTACCACATCACATTTCAGCTCTGCATCTGTAAAACTGTATCATAATATGTCAATTTGATTGATTTTCATCCATTTACGCGTTGGCTAACATGAACTAGCAGCGACCCTATTCAATAAATACACAACATTTTGATTTAGGAAGCTAAAGCTAGTTATTTAGCTAACTGAAGCTTCGGATTACTAAAAAGAACCGTTGCAGCTTGTAAATTAATTAACAGCTTTCATGTTGTTCTTTGCAGCTGCCTTCCAGAAAACGGTAGAAACTTTCGGAGGAATAGACATTGTGTGTAACAACGCCGGCATCCTGACTGAGTCAAACTGGAAGAAAACCATCTCCATAAACCTCGTAAGACAGATAAAACATCCGTTAGTTTAACGTACTACGACGTGAAAGTTACATTTCAAGAGTTGGTGTTACATTATGTTGATGTTTGGTTCTTTTCCTATAATTTGTGACATCTCAGTTGAGCGTCATCAAGGCCACCTACATAGCTCTGGAGCACATGAGCAAACTGAGCGGAGGTCAAGGAGGCATCATCATCAACACGGCATCCATGGCAGGTAAAACATTTACGGAGCTTTCATTTCCTGTAGGAGGGCGGGAGGCTCAAGGAAAAAGCTCAAAAATATTTTGACTGAATATTTCAGAGCTTTTTACTCAAGGTTCTTTATTGTCATTCGCATCACATGTGGTACATGAGGTGGAACAAAATTGTGTACTCAAGATCCCTGTTACACCCAAAAATAGCAAAGATTATGTATGTAAGTATTAAAAAAAAAACAGTATAGGAGGGTCTAGGATATACGCTAAACACTAATGTAAAATAAAATGTTATATTAAACAAGAGCCCGAACTCGAGGTTGATAATTTTTGAATTTATTTACAGACAGTGAGATTAAAATTATGATGCTGTGGCCTGTAGACAAGTGACGTTTTTGTTAATCTAATAAAAAAATTTAAATGCTGCACATTGTTCAGACTGACTGAGAGACAAAGAGACAGACAGACTGACTGAGAGACAGAGAGACTGACTGACTGACTGAGAGACAGAGAGACTGACTGTGAGACAGCGAGACTGACTGAGAGACAGAGAGACTGACTGAGAGACGGACTGACTGACTCACAGACTGACAGAGAGACAGACTGACTGAGAGACTGACTGAGAGACAGACAGACTGACTGAGAGACAGAGAGACTGACTGAGAGACTGACTGACTGACTCACAGACTGACTGAGAGACAGACAGACTGACTGAGAGACTGACAGACTGACTCACAGACTGACAGAGAGACAGACTGACTGAGAGACAGAGAGACTGACTGACTGACTGACTCACAGACTGACTGAGAGACTGACTGAC